AATCAAAACAAAAAAGCAACCCAACATTGCATACAGATGATTGCTTTAAATATCCCTGTCAGGAAATTACAAAAAAAAAAAAAAAAAAATGAGAACAATAACATAGAATCATAGAATAGATAGGGTTGGAAAGGACCTTATAGGACCTTCTAGGATCATCTAGTTCCAACACTGTCACCATGGGCAGGGACACCTTGCTCTAAACCCCTCGTCCAACCTGGCCTTGAACACTCCCAGGGATGGAGCATTCACAACCTCCCTGGGCAACCTATTCCAGTGCCTCACCACCCTAACAGGAAAGAATTTCCTCCTTATATCCAAACTTCCCCTGTTTAAGTTTTAACCCATTACCCCTTGTCCTATCACAACAGTCCCTAATGAAGAGTCCATCCCCAGCATCCCTATAGGCCCCCTTCAGATTCTGGAAGGCTGCTATGAGGTCTCCACGCAGCCTTCTCTTCTCCAGGCTGAACAGCCCCAACTTTCTCAGCCTGTCTTCATATGGGAGGTGCTCCAGTCCCCTGATCATCCTTGTGGCCCTCCTCTGGACTTGTTCCAACAGATCCATGTCCTTTTTATGTTGAGGACAGCAGAACTGCACACAATACTCCAAGTGAGGTCTCACGAGAGCAGAGTAGAGGGGCAGGATCACCTCCTTCGACCTGCTGGTCATGCTGCTCTTGATGCAGCCCAGGATATGGTTGGCTTTCTGGGCTGCCAGCACACACTGAAGCTGGCTCATGTTCATGTTCTCATCGACCAGCACACCCAAGTCCTTCTCCGCAGGGCTGCTCTGAATCTCTTCTCTGCCCAACCTGTAGCTGTGCCTGGGATTGCTACAACCCAGGTGCGGGACCTTGCACTTGGCATGGTTAAACTTCATGAGGTTGGCATCAGCCCACCTCACAAGTGTGTCAAGGTCCCTCTGGATGGCATTCCTTCCCTCCAGTGTATCAACTGAACCACACAGCTTGGTGTCATCGACAAACTTGCTGAGGGCGCACTCAATCCCACTGTCCATGTCAGCGACCAAGATGTTAAACAAAACCGGTCCCAACACCGATCCCTGAGGGACACCACTCGTTACTGGTCTCCAGCCAGACATTGAGCCATTGACCACAACTCTTTGTGTGCGGCCATCCAGCCAGTTCTTTATCCACCGAGTGGTCCATCCATCAAATTGATGTCTCTCCAATTTAGAGACAAGCATGTCGTGTGGGACAATGTCAAACGCTTTGCATAAATCCAGGGAGATGACATCAACTGCTCTACCGCTGTCCATCAGTTCTGTAGCCCCATCATAGAAGGCCACCAAATTGGTCAGGCAGGATTTCCCCTTGGTGAAGCCATGTTGGCTGTCCCCAAGCACCTTGTTGATTTTCATGTGCTTTAGCATGCCTTCCAGGAGAATCTGCTCCAAGATTTTGCCAGGCACAGAGGTGAGACTGACTGCTCTGTAATTGCCCGGGTCATCCATTTCTCCTTCTTGAAAATGGGGGTTATATTTCCCTTTTTCCAGTCATCAGGAACTTCATCTGACTGCCATGATTTTTCAAATATGATGGCCAGCGGCTTAGCAACTTCATTTGCCAGTCATAGAAAAACATGATTATTTCCTCTATAGCTGTTTCCCTAAGGCTACATTTCTATTTACACTTGATTTCATGGGAATGCTCAGGCACCTCAGAGAAAAAGCTATATTTTATAATCCTATGTACTTCTTGTCTCAGAAATGCATAAACTTTTACCGGAAGAAGTTTCACTAACAAGGCACAAAGTAGTCAAACCCACACATCCTTAATCTAATTTTGACTGACATTTTTTTGTAATGAAGTTCGTTCCTCCTCTATAAAACCTCCTATCTGTAACATATTCCAGTATTAAAAAAACTTTTGTTGCTATAATTATTTCAACTTTACTGACCACTCTGTAAGGATTTACAGTGGATATAGCCTCTCCGAGTAACAAACCGTATTAAAATGCTTTTGTGAGAAATTTTGTCAGAAACGTATTTAGCGAACACAGGCTATAAACCTGACACTTCCTCACTGAACTTTCCTATTATGCTTCTGAGATTGAAAACAAAGTTTGAAGTATTCTTTGTTGGGCACGATTATTTTGCGCCAGGAGTAACCACGTTGTCAGTTCGATGCAACTTATCCATCCTACTGACACCTAATACTTTTGAAGGGACTTACACAAGATTCAGAAAGCAGTCCAATGGTATATATTTCAGCATCAACTCTAATTCTTCCAGAAATCTCTTTGCCTTCAAGCTTTTCAGGCTGATTAATCAAGCACTTTTCATCGAGTAATTGAACAAAGAGTTGCAGCTTTCTCAAGACAGGACTGAAGAAGTACTTGCAACTCCAAAGATATCTAAAGCATTGTGTTTCATGTTAATCAGAAGCCAGAATGTTCCCCTATAGCTGCCTCAGAAATCCAATAAGGTTGGATGCTACTGCTGCCATACTAAAACACACTTTAACTTAAAAAGAGATTGATCAGTCACTTACCAGCAGAAACATATACGACATGACTGAGCTTAACATGAAATATGAAAGGTTTAGAACCACACAAGACTTTGGAAACACATAGAATGTAGAACCGTTTCCCTTCAAACTCAGTAGTAAGCCAACATTTAAGGAAGCTGCAAGATAATCAACAGAAAAGATTTCAGCCATCAAAAGAGCAGTTTCAGAGATGTGTAGGAATTTTTTCATTTGACATTCATCAGGTCTAATCACAGAAACCAGGTAAGAGTTAACATGAAACTTTGATTTACTCATATGATGTTAGTATAAGAGACAATACTTTGCCCACACTGTAAGATCACACTTGAAGTCTGACAAGCATGACACGCACACTAACATGTCCCGTATTGAACAGATAAATATTTTTACTCATCACACTGATAAGTCCTATTTCACTAGTTAAAAAAACAGGATTTTTGTTTTCTGATAAGTAAGCATAAACTGAAACAATAGGTAATTTGGCATTTTGAAGTTTTTGTGCCAACTCTATTACTTCATTAGGGAACAAGAGAGAATATCTCAGAATTCACAACCAGCATCTAGAAACAGAGGCCTGCAAGTTTTGATGGATGTACTATGCAAACCATGGTAAATGCTCATAAAGCTCAGGTTCACAGTCTAAGTACGATGAACAGTGAGAAGTAACAATTTTTCATGTATATTTTCCTTATCCTTAGTAACTAATGCAAGGTAACATACTTTTACACCTTTCATTAACAATGACAGATGCAACTATGCTTCACCTCCTTCACTAGCTGATAATCACCCATTTTATGCCGCACTATGACACGACTGCCAAATCCAACAGAAGATATTAAGAGAAAAATACTTTTACAGATCTGAGGCATAAAAAAAAGAAAAACCGCTTAGTCCCATAGAGTTGAAATACACACACCACACACTACCTAGTCACCTTTCCTTAGTATTTTCATACTTTAGTCTCCATTCATGTAGGTGTCATAACCTCACTGCCCAGAGGTCAGCCCTTAGAATATACACTACTACTGCAACTGAAATAAAGACTTACCTGTTTCTTATTCACTCTTAAAGAGTATACCAACACCACAGATTTAACTAAGTCACTAAGATCAAATATCTTGCAAAGATAAGGACTTCTAGTGCTTGGAAACTCAAGGATAAATCCATTGTTAATTAATCAATGACCTTCAACATTACCCTGCAAGGTAGTAAGGTAATACACATCCAGCATTAAGTTCTAGGAGGGGAAAAAGGATCAATTCCTGCAGTTCTACGGGAGCATTGAGAGGATTCATGAACATTTATCTTAAAATATAGCTTTAAAAAAAAATAATCTGTCAGTGGATTGCCAAGTTCAAGTCAATTTCAAAACACACAGTAGGAAAAACATTCAAAAGAAGGAATTTATACAAATAACTCAATACAATAAATTTTCCATCTCCAAGGGATTTATTTATTTTTTTTTACCTTCCCTAATATTTGTGTTTTGGGGGAATAAATAATTTTCCTCTATCTTTTCATGGGTAAATAAAAATTTCTCAGTCATTGCAGTTGACTTTAGTCACTTTTCAATTTCATGTCTAAGAGAGGAATCTCCTGGAGCGACTGTTTTTATTGATTACATTCAGATAAATTGTACAGAAGTACCCATAAACTTCATATCCTCCATTTTCTACCTCATTAGTATCATAAAAATAAATAAATCTGCTACTTGATCTGACAAGAAGCTGATACCCATATGTACAGATTTCATTACCATCTTCCCTGCAATACTCATTTATTAAAAACATCATGAACTTAAAGAAAACCCAGATTTGCACTACTAAATCAAACAGCCAGCAGAGGATTCTTTCTGTAGAAGCTTAGATGTTGCAACTGAAATGGAAGGTCATTTTCATGAACAGATGTAAACAAGTATAAACACCTATTCTAAGGATACAAAACCACAGGCATTGTATATGCTTGACAATTTTTATTGTTCAAGAATCTCCCTGTCCCCTCTTACAGAGCAAAAAGACTGTCATCAGCACCACAACCATCTGGATCCAATTTTCCTTCTGAGACTTCGCTCTGCTCAGGGGTAACTAACTCTTCTGCTACTAGTTCATTCTATCTGACTTTTGTGTGACAAAAACAAATTTTGAGTAATTGGGGGAAAAAAAAATAATCTTTTCTCTGAAGCACACAATGAGTCTTGTGGTCTCACTGCTTTCTTCTCATCCTCTTAGCCAAAAACCAGAATACTGCATTTCCACATCTCTGGGCAGCTATTCACTCATAAATCAAAACACTGGTGAACATGAAAACTTGTATTTTAAATTTGTATCTGTATACCAAACTTGTTTTTAAAGCAATCCATAAAATGTTACTCTTTGAAGGAAGACTTTGGGCTACAGCAGGGCTCTTAAATTTTAATATACCATGTTAAGACTGGCAGCCAAAGAACAACAGTATGAGGTAACACTGATAGCAGTAAGACACACTGACTTCTTTCCAACAACAGGAAACAGCAGCTGTAAGGTAGAATTCTTCACAAAACCTGAACTTTCGGTTTATACGCATTATACCCAAATTTCAGTTCTGACACCTATGCTCCACCATATGTTTATACCAGCAGAAAGCAGTAGCCCTTGAAGCAAATCAGAACACAAACCTTTTGTCATTCTATATACAGAAAAATATGGTATCTAAAAACCGTAAAATGGATTAAAGCTCAAATCTCTATTTTGATTTTTTTTTTTTAACACCTTTATTTTGGTAATCACTTTTGTGGTTTAACCACAGCCTTCAACCCCAGGGCCCAGCCAGTCCCTTCCCCCGAAGTTCATATGCTGAGCATGATGTCATATGGTATGGAATGCCCCTTTGTCCAGTTTGGGTCAGCTGCCCTGGCCATGTCCCTCCTGGCTTTTTGGGCTCTTCCAGCCCTCTCACTGGCAGCGCATAAGCTGAAAAGTCCTTGAGTTAGTATACTAACACTACTTAGCAACAACTGAAAACATCAGTGTTATGAACACTATTCTCATATAAATGCAAAACAGCACTGTACCAGTTACTAGGATGAAAATTAACCCTATCCCAGCTAAAACCAGGAGTCATTGACTTCATATACAGTTTTAAATTTATGTGACTGACTACTGTCTTAAAAGTAGGCAACATACAAATAACTGCCTCTAAAACCAAGATAGACATTCTGAAAAATAGTTTTACAGCCTTGGTGAAAATGGTCAAAAATGGGCACATGGATTTTGATCAAGAGAAAAAAAACAAAGATTCTAAATATAACAAAGTACACTAGTTTTGAGTTGTTCTACTTCTTCGTTAAATATCTTATTTAAAAAAATACAAACCAAGCATTTCTCACTCACACATTTAGCTAACAAACTTTGTTAAAATTCCATCTTTATATCCACCCTCTTTTTTCATTCCACAAATCCAGAAAGATTGCTTGCAGTTGAAGTTATTCTCATATACATAAAGAAAGTATACTTCATAAAAGCATGGATACAATCAGAAAGGCCTCTTATAGAGGAAGTTTTCCCTTCCCCTAAACCTGAACTGCTGCAACAAGTTGCTGAAGTAGGGAACCCCCACATAAAGCTTATGTTCTCATCAACCTCATCAATTTTTTATAAAACACAGACATGGATCACATGTTCTTTGCTGAAACAGATCTTCCCTTTCCAGCCACAGCAATGACTCAAGTGCATCCTTTCAGCAGTAGAAGAGCACAGCATAGGTTTTACTTCTTGTGATAAAATTTTATCCTGTCAATATATATGAAACACCAACAGGTAACAGACGTTGTTTTACACTGCTGTTTCAAAGAAATTCTCTAAATATAGTAAGTTTTCATCTCATAAGCCTACAAGACTTAAAGGACCTCACATTTCAATGAAGTATGCCCATATGCAAAAATAAGCGAAACGTATCTTTTACTTGTTGTAAACGTGCTCCAAATAATCAAAATTCTTTTGCTTGTTTTTCCTTCTGTTTCTTCTCCTGGTCTTTTAAGAAGAAAGGAGAAGTTTCCTAAATGAATTTATATACACTACACACTTAATGTTTCAGTAGTTCAAATGGTCTATTACTAGCCTTACCAAAATTATTTACCTATTCATGTTCACATACAAGCATCAGTAAGAGGCAGAACACTACGTGAGCTCCAATCTCCAGACATTCCCTTTAGTCTATATAGAAAAAAAGTTGAAGCATTTTCCATTACAACACTGTTATCCACAAGAATCTTCAATATATGTGTTTTTCTAATATTAAATTACCTGCCATGGTCAGCTAAAAAGCATTGCTTTGCAGACTTAAATTTAAGGGACTCTAGAAAAGTACTACCTTGTATCCAAGAGCTTAACTTCCCAAAATATAGCGTACCTTCTTTCTAATCCAAGTTTAGAAAACACCTATACTCAGTCACAGGGCTGATGACCTTCTAATCATCTCATCTAATAATAAAATACCACAAAAGAAATTTTGCCAAAATAAAAATGGGAATATTTATTATCTTTTCTACTAAAGCAATGCAGAACTTCTGAGGTTATACACTGGTCTTTGCAAATGTTTCTCGAGCTAAATTCATACTTTTAGATTTTGTAAAAAAATTAAGACACATACTTCATAAAAACAAAAGACACGGTATGTCACTGAACAATTGGATAATATTATAATTGTTAGTAGGGATGAGCAAAAAAAGCTCATGCTTACACAACTCTGGCATTTGCATCATTATATACTCAAGTGGGACGAAATGGATACATTTTCCTTGCATATTTTCAGTTCCACTTCCCAAGCTTTCAGAAATCAGACAGACTGTTAAATACTGAATTTGACCAAGAGACCCTAGACATTATTTAGCGGTACTACATGCACAAGATGCAGGGGAAGGAAGAAAATTAGACCCGTGCATACAGTACAAGACAAATTGTTAACAACTGTCAAACGTGCGCTGGACAAAATTCAAAGTTTATGAAAAGTTTTATTTCTTGTCATGAAAATAGTTTCGGAAGCACATAATTGTATGTATATTGCAAAGTCATCTTCACTTGGCCTCCTGAACTTTCTTGGCATTCTGTTTTTCTTTTGCCTAGAAAACAAAGGGAGATGATATTAAACTCTGACAAGACAAAGACTTGCTTTTTGGAGCTCTGAATGACTATTCATTACACTTTTGAACATTCAACAAAATATGCTGAAGTAAGAGACATTTTAAATATAAATTTATATTCTTCAGAAATATCCTACTATTACGTTCATATATAAAGCTTTTCGAAATACACATAAGTTTAAATATAATAATAAGAAACAAATATTAAATAACTTTCATAGAGGGAAAGCAGAGATTAAGAAAAGCTCCATTTTAAAACAGAATTTAACCTTCATTTTACACCTCCATATTAATTTCATTTAACACTGAAATAACTCCTCTTAATGAAAACATTTTATTTCACAAGAAAATACTGCATTCAGAAATAGTCATTATCACAGATTAAACTAAAATAACCAAGATTTTAGTTTTTTAGATCTTTCAAAAGATCAGTACGGGAAAAAAAAGCAAAGATATTTGTGAACGGAATCTTACGTTACTTGTATCAATAGATAGATAGTTCAAATTGACAAGGAACGAGCATTTTCTTCCTTATGAATTTAGTCAAAAAAGATTAGGCAAGAAGAAAGGACAATTCAGATGCAACCATTTGTTCATTCTGAATCAGACTGCTACTTATTACCACTTACTATTGAGCAGAACTGGATCTAAGTCAGTGATTTAGAATCAAGATCTGTTATCACCAGCTGCTCAGGTGCACTGGAAATTTACTTGTAAAACAAGCTTGCTGGTGTTATACGTAACTCCTATCAACATGAAACCAGACTAAAACTTCACAAACGACCCAAAGAAGGAAAAGATTAAAAAAATAATCCAAAAGTTTCTGCCTCATAAACTACTAAGTATCGCCAACACATACTTTGCTAAGGAAATTAAGCTAAAGAATCTACTCTTTAAGTAATGTTTAGTTCTGTCATTACAGTAATAGAGATCCTTTTTTAGTCTGATTTCAAATTTAGGGATACTCTCTATGGCACAAGAGTAGATATGCAAACATTCTATTTCAAGCACTTGACTAGCCATACAGTTAAATAACCTTGCCAAAGTAATTTAATCAACAAGCCTAATACAAACTTTAATGTTAGTAGCTAGACACCTTACAAAAGGGAAAACAGCAAGTCAGATAATCAGTATAAGAACAGAAAGAGTACAAATTTCAGGCTACCTAAACTAACAGAACCTCTGTGCAAAGGTTGCCATCTAGTGCTGACATGTAGATAAATCAACAAAACTGAGTATTAACAGTCCCAAGTATGGAGGAAGGATCAATCTTTACATACATGTCTGTGTATGCATACATTCAAATAATCTTCACTTCAAAAAGGGATATCAGGATAGTATGGGGAACTCTACCCCAGACTAACTGGAAATACACATCAAAATTTTAATGGGACTTTTAACTTCTTTTTTAGAAAAGCCCAAATCGTGCATCTCTTATACAACGTAATCTTTTATCTGATATTGAATTGCTTCTTCCTATATCACCATCAGAAAAAGTTTGTGTAGGTTATCAAATGGGAGATAAAACTTGCCTTTGTGTAACAGTGAAATTTGGTTAACCCTACAATCTCCAGTCTCTGTTAGAATTGTGCCTTGTAAGAACTGCAAGAGTATCCGGTAAACTAGCAGTGCATGTGAACGTAACAGATTAAATAAACCAACCCATGCCATTTACACTTCCAAGATATTTGGCTGCATTTATAATCTTAAGCAGAAGGTATGAAGAACTACAGTAATATACTGTTTCTTGACAGTTAGCTATGAAATACTCACTTTTTCTACTAATGGTATTAACTGTTGGTGCTCTGCTAATGTCTTTAGTAATTCCATGATGAAAGGCAGGTAGTTATGTTTTCTTCTAATATTTTCAATCTAAAAATAGATAAAAAGCATTAACAGGATTATTTTATGGCTAAATGGGGACTTTTCCCTTTCCTGTTACTGCGCCATTCCCCCACTCCCGACCCTAAACCTGGAATTCTTTCTTAAATTTCAACCAGCTAAAAATAAAATTAAAGCAATAAAATTCTGAGCACACAGTGATAAAGTACATGCCAGACTAATTTACTGCTTTGGGCACAAATTCTCCTTACAGTCTTTTGTCATACTAGCCAAAACAATGATTAAATAGGTTATATGGTTTAGTCATTGCTGTAACACTGACAAGTACTGTTACCTAAACTATTCTTTTTCCACAACTTATGCAGCTCGACCCAGGTATTTTTACAGTACCCTCCATAGCTCTGCCTAGGCAGAAGACTTTAACATTTCCGCAATGCAAAAGCATGCCTATTTTGTTATACTAAACACTTAGCAGCTTTTACAGTGATTAAATCGTTCAGCAAGACAGGGTATTATTTGCTTTTTCAACTGAAAGATCTCCATAGACTCAAAGTAGATACTCTAACATAAAAAAGTAGACCTTTAAGCAGTTTCCACAATATTTCCACATACTGTTAGGAACACTGCTTTAGAGACAAGGAACAACACACTTTATAACTTATGTACTAGAGAAATACATTTGACATTATCATTACAACTATCGAAGTCTTGGTCTGTACATTCTCTTTCTAGTACCCACCCAATTCCTTCAGATTAATTACAACATCCTCCCATAGATATAAACCCCACCTTTGTCTTACAACTTTCCCAGTAATCCCATCAGAAAAGCAAAGACTACATACCTTATATCTTTTTAATTTTTGATTCTCTTCTTCAATTAACATCTGGTATTTTGCTACTTCTGACTGTATTGAACTTAACACATTACTACTTTGATCTGTATCCATAGGCTCCTCCTTCCACAAAACAGAAAAATGTTAAATGGAAGACATTTCTGCAATTTTTAAGGTTGTGTTTTTTTATTTAATTAAATTAAGTCTTAAGAGTATTTGTAATCACAGAAAGATTAGAAACATTCAATGAAATTCCGCAGTTAACTATAAGCAGATTACGTCAGGAACTAGGAAAAGAACAGTTCCATTACTGTGGCAAATTAGCCAAGACAGAGAGCCATAATGACATGGTCATACTGTACCAAGAGCTCAAATTAGCTCACACAGAACTAATCAGAGCTGCATTAGTGCATCCACAAAGCACTGCTCTGTGGTTTTTTTCTAGTGCTGTGCTCTTTATTAGTGATACTGTATTTGGAACAAGGAAAGAAGAAGGTGAAGAATAAAGCAAGGACACAGAACTAGTACCGGAGAACTACTCCAATAACTTAAAACCATGGCCTACCTCTGCAAGTTGCTGCTGTAATTCTGCAATCCTCTGCTCATATATCATCTTTCTGTCAGATACAATAGCCATCAAGTTAAACCTTATCTCTCCTTCACTGTATCTGAGGAACAAAAAAGCAAAAAAAAAAAAACCACAACACTTGCAAAATCAGTTATTATCATGACCACTCAAAAACCTCCTCCACAATTTTATTATAAGGGAATGCATTTTGTAGGGAAAAAAAAAATGTATATGGCTCTATTAAGTTGTACTACAGATCTAATCTTGACGTGAAATAAAATCAGACCTTAGATGAATGCTACCCAGTAACTCATAATAACCTCCTTTTCCAAGATACTACTAATTCCTGTCTGCAGTCATAAAAAGTAAATATTGAGACTGTCCAAAACAGAAAACAAAACATAGACTCATAGAATTGTAGGCCTGGAAAACTTGATATAAAACTTGCACAAACCTGCTGCACGCAGTAGTTTTTACTTTCTCATTACTGCTACTTGATAGAAAGTGTTGGAGACTTCTTCATACAACATGAACAGTAAATTCAACAATTAGATTAGCAGTCCTTTGAGAGTTTAAATTCTCCAAATGTGATTTGGTAGTAACATTTTGCTTATGAAAAAGACTTTGAAAATTATCTTCTAAAAATGGTGTAACATCAACTTTATTTCCAACACATTTGGTGTCAGAGCTGAGAAGTAGGAAAACATCTATGGTATGTTTTCCTACCTTTAATTTCTAAACCAAACCACATAACTAAGGAAATACCAGCTGTAGCAATATAGTTATTATCTGGTATTTTTAATTAAAAGCACACCCCCAAACTTTATCTTTGTTAATGACGCTCTTGGCTTTTACTTGTGAAGACCCACAGCTGTCTAACAGAATCAATCATCTTGCTCTTCCTTTTTTCAGAGTACTAACAGGTTCTCTCTTCATTACACAGATAGTTGATTTGATTAATCATACAGAAATACAGCATATATGAGACTTAGCTATCATCACATTTAGCTCATGTTGGTCAATAGCATCAAGTCACACAGTGATGTGCAGATAAAAAATTATGCATATTCATCATTCCTCATAAATTCAGTTGAAAGCCTTTAACTGAAAGAAATTAAGAATAAATAATTATTAAAAATATATAAGGTATTATATTCTTAAAAGCATCATGACCATTTACTTTTGTATACGTTTCTCTATGACAGGCCGTACAGCACTTATCCAGTCATCTTGATTGCATGCACCTAGAAAAAAAACATACAAAGAAAAAAATTAATCCTCTTTGCAAAACTAAATGTAAATTCAGGGCTTGTATAATTCAGGTTTATCCAGCAACTTCAGAGTACATAACAAATTTTTCCTTGGCAACTGCAGTCTCAAATTACTCGGGTGATTTTTTTAGGAGGTGTAAGATATTTTTTAGTAGCAATATTTAGATAATATACTGGCCAAAGAAAGAAAGCAAACCTAAATTTTAAGGGCATAAGCATCTAACTTTTATTTTATTGATAATAAGAAAAATCAGGAGGGGGTAAGTATATTACATAAGATTTGTATGACACAAATCAGTTGGTATGACAACATACAAGTAGATAGCAAAATAAAAAAGTATAGATAGTTACAGCTGCTCCATTTAAACAAAATTAAGAGTTAATACTATGTAGATGCCATACAATGGTAAAAAGTCAGACACAGAAAAAAACATAAAAGGATATATAATAGATAACTTGATTTTAAGATAAATGAGAGAATAACTAAAGGTGATTTTGTAAGTTGATAATGCATCTAACAATTTCAAGACCTCACAGGAAATGAAGAGACTCATGATCCTGTTACCATAAAAGTTGTTACTGGTACTGCAGACTGTAGTCTCTTTAACCAGATTAAAGATGAGATTTAGCAGCAAGATACTGCTCAGCCTAAAAATAAATGCAATGGTCAAGAAAACTTGGAAAACACTCTGGAAATGGAGTGTGGAACATGTTGAGATTGTATCAGGCTGCAAAGTACACACACAGGATAAGCATTGTAGAACTTTTCAAGACCCAAGATGGCACACCCAGCAAGTTAAGAAAGATTAGAAGACATGAAGTATGAACAAGTCTTACAGAGAACTAAACTATGCTAAAAGTAAGTATTCTTTTCTAAACCATTTTAAACCAGCTGGTCTGATGATGAAGAAGGGGAAGAGCAGTTTTGGTAGGAGGCTTGCCAAACTGGTCAAGGAGACTTTAAACTAGATGTGCTGGGGGAGGGGGGCATAATTCCATCCCAACACACCCAGTCAGTTGACAGCACCTATAATAAATGCTCGGAGCAATGTAGGTATATTCCAGCTGCTCCAGCCAATAAGCCGGCTTCATTTGGAGCTTGGCTCAGATGCCTCTACACAAACACCTGTAGCATGGGTAACAAACAAGAGGAATTAGAGATGTGTGCACGTCTATGGGGGCATAATATAATAGGCATCACAGAAACATGGTGGGATGGCTCCTATGACTGGAGTGTTGGATTGGAAGGTTACAGACTCTTTAGAAAAGACAGGCCTGGCAGGCGCGGAGGGGAAGTATCTCAGGGATAGGCTGAAGAGTATGGAACTCTGTCTGGGGACTGGTGAGCAGTTAACAGAGTTTGTGGGTCAGGGTTAAAGGAAAACAGTGATGGGAGACATTACTGTGGGGATCTGCTACAGACCGCCTGATCAAGGAGAACCTGTGGATGAAGCACTCTATAGGCAGATAGGAGAAGCCTCACGCTCACAGGCCCTTGTTCTCATGAGTGACTTCAACCACCCTGACATCTGTTGGAATGACGGTACAGCCCGGCACAAGCAATCCAGGAGGTTCCTCAATTGTGTGGAAGACAACTTCCTTCTGCAAGTAATAGAGGAGCCAACCAGGAGAGGTGCCATGCTTAACCTCGTGCTAGCAAAAAGGGAAAGGCTTGTTAGAAATGTGATGCTCCAGGGCAGCCTTGGATGCAGCAATCACGAGCTGGTCAAATTTGAGATACGACAGCCAGAAGAGAGTGCAGGAAGCTCACTGCCCTAGACTTCAAAAGAGCAGACTTTGGCCTCTTCAGAAACCTGTTTATAAGGTTCCATTGGATATAGCCCTAGAGGGCAGGGGGCCCAAGACTCTTGGTTGATATTCAAGGACCACCTGCTACAGGCTCAGGAGTGTTGCATCCCAGCTAGAAGTGCAGCAGGAGGGCCAGGAGAACTCCTTGGATGGATAAGGAGCTGCTGAGGAAAATTCAAATGAAAAAAAGTCTTACAGAAAGTGGAAGCAAGGACAGGAGGCCTGGGAAGAGTACAGGGATGTTGTCCAGGAAGCTAGGGTCCAGGTTAGGAAAGCTAAGGCCCAGTTAAAATTCAACTTGGCTAGGGATATTTAGGATAACAGGAAGGGATACTACAGGTACACAGCAAATAAAAAACAGACTAGGGAGAATGTAGACCCCCTCTGGAAGCTCTCGGGAGAACTACCTACACAGGATTTGGAAAAGGCTGAGGTTCTGAATGACTTCTTTACCTCAGTCTTCTCTGGCAAAGGCTCTGACCTCACCACCCAAGCCTTGGAAGGTAGATGCAGGGACTGTGAGAATGAAGACCTTGGGCCCACTGTAGGAGAGGATCTGGTTCGAGACCATCTTAAAAACCTGAATATGCACAAGTCCATGGGTCCTGATGAAATCCATCTGTGCGTCCTGAAGGAGCTGGTGAGTGAAGTTGCTAAGCCGCTGGCCATCATATTTGAGAAATCATGGCAGTCAGGTGAAGTTCCTGACAACTGGAAAAAGGGAAATATAACCCCCATTTTCAAGAAGGGGAAAATGGATGACCCGGGGAATTACAGACCAGTCAGTCTCACCTCTGTGCCTGGCAAAATCTTGGAGCAGATTCTCCTGGAAGGCATGCTAAGGCACATGAAAAACAACAAGGTGCTTGGTGACAGCCAGCATGGCTTCACCAAGGGGAAATCCTGCCTGACCAATTTGGTGGCCTTCTATGATGGGGCTACAGAACTGATGGACAGGGGTAGAGCAGTTGATGTCATCTACCTGGACTTGTGCAAAGCGTTCGACACTGTCCCACACGACATCCTTGTCTCTAAATTGGAGAGACATCAATTTGATGGATGGACCACTCGGTGGATAAAGAACTGGCTGGATGGCCGCACACAAAGAGTTGTGGTCAATGGCTCAATGTCCGGCTGGAGACCAGTAACGAGTGGTGTCCCTCAGGGATCGGTGTTGGGACCGGTCTTGTTCAACATCTTCGTCGCTGACATGGACAGTGGGATTGAGTGCGCCCTCAGCAAGTTTGCCGATGACACCAAGCTGTGTGGTTCAGTTGATACGCTGGAGGGAAGGAATGCCATCCAGAGGGACCTTGACACGCTTGTGAGGTGGGCTGATGCCAACCTCATGAAGTTTAACCATGCCAAGTGCAAGGTCCCACACCTGGGTTGTAGCAATCCCAGGCACAGCTACAGGTTGGGCAAAGAAGAGATTCAGAGCAGCCCTGCGGAAAAGGACTTGGGTGTGCTGGTTGATGAGAAAATGAACATGAGCCGGCAGTGTGAGCTTGCAGCCCAAAAAGCCAACCGTATCCTGGGATGCATGAAGAGGAGCGGGACCAGCACGTCGAAGGAGGTGATCCTGCCCCTCTACTCTGCTCTCGTGAGACCTCACTTGGAGTATTGTGTGCAGTTCTGCTGTCCTCAACATAAAACGGATATGGAAGTGTTGGAACAATTCCAGAGGAGGGCCATGAGGATGATCAGGGGACTGGAGCACCTCCCATATGAAGACAGGCTGAGAAAGTTGGGGCTGTTCAGCCTGGAGAAGAGAAAGCGGTGTGGAGACCTCATAGAAGCCTTCCAGTATCTGAAGGGGGCCTATAGGGATGCTGGGGAGGGACTCTTCATTAGGGACTGTTGTGATAGGACAAGGGGTAATGGGTTAAAACTTAAACAGGGGAAGCTTAGATCAGATATAAGGAAGAAATTTTTTCCTGTTAGGGTGGTGAGGCACTGGAATAGGTTGCCCAGGGAGGTTGTGAATGCTCCATCCCTGGGAGTGTTCAAGGCCAGGTTGGATGAAGCCTTGGGTGATAGGGTTTAGTGTGAGGTGTTCCTGCCCATGGTGGGGGGGTTGGAACTAGATGATCTTAAGGTCCTTTCCAACCCTAACTATTCTATGATTCATTGGGGAAATATTTGGTACCTAAGAAGAATGAGGACACTCTGTAAACACCAGACACGTAACATAAAAGAAGCATATGGAGCCAGCTCTATACATGCTCCCACAGAAAAAATTAACAGTAAAATAAATGGATAGTTTATAGTCTCGGGGAGGGGGGGGGGGGCAGCTTTGAAAACATGACATAGAAATTGTCTTGGGTGACAGCAGCACAAAAAGGAAGATGTGGGGAAAAAATATTATCAAAGGGAGTTGCACACTATGGGTAAGGAAAGCCAAAAAGATTACAAAGTTTTACTAGATTTTGCTAGAGACAGCTCAGAACAACAACGTATTTCCTAACATAAGGAGAACAAACATCCAAGATAGGTGGGTTACGTAAACCTCTCTTGCAACAAAACTATTAAGATATTAAAAGCTTGCTGGAATGTACTGCCTATTCAATTGATTATTGAATGAATGGAGAGACAATCAGAAGCATGAAGGAAGCAACATGAAACCTGCATTTTCATACCAGCAAAAATAAAACAATATAAATGACTGGAAAGAAGTATAAGCCTGAGTAGCACATTAGAAAAACTTTAAATATATGCTTTATTTTAATACATAACTTGGTTTGCTCCTGTAACATACCACCAATTTGTTGCAATAATGTATTGTGAAAATGAGGGATGCTCAGAAAAAAATATGAAATATTACCTAGATCTATTGGCCCTTCCCTTAAGCCATCTAGTTCATACAGCCTTCCATTAACAGGAACATAGCTTACAAAGTGAAATGCATCTTCTTCTTTTGCTGAAGACTTTGCATCAAATTCAAACATCTGCTGTCTGCAAAGACAAATTGAAAATATCTGAGATGAGAAAGAATATGCTCAAATTTTGCCTAGATTTAAAACATATGTTACCTGGCAAAACTGTTGTGAACTTGCCGAATCACTTCTGAGTTGCTTAGTGCCAAACCTTTCATCTGAAAATAAGTAACAAAATTAAATTTTAAGCCAACATATTACAACACTGTAATACTTGAAATACAGAAAATAGTAAGCACTTACCGCTGCATCAAAACTTTGTGAAAATTCTTTGAATTCTGACAAAGTCTCTCCTAGATGGATATCTTGATGAGCACAATTCAAAAGCACACTTACTATGGCCTGAGTAGCACAAGCATTATTAATTACCTATGAAAAAAGCGTGGAGAATTTGTTCAGCAGTGGTGATAAAAATTTACTTTAAGCTGGATAACATTTTTCATTACAAAAACAAGCTTTCTATGCTGATTCACATTAGAGTTGCACTCCAACACAGGCAGCAAATCTAGTCTGAGTAGCCACAGAAAAGCCTGTGCTGCAGGAGACTAATACAACCAAAGCTGAATGGCCGTCATATACAGTTAATAGATAAAACTGGTATTTCAAACCTCCACTTAGAAACTCTGTCATCCTACTGTCTCACCACCTCCCTAAAGCAATTAATAAAGAACTTTGAAGAAATAAAGAAAACTTCTGATCCCAGTGGAAAACCAAAGTACTATTCAAAGCAAGCTGCCCAAATAACATAGCTTTATCTATGGTCTTGAAAAAACAAGTCAACTCTCCCCAAAAGAATGTCCTCCAAGTAATCAGAATTCCTACCATAAGTAGGAGCACAAAAAACAAACAAAAAAAAAATGGGGGCAATAAATGCAGAAGCTAGAATTTAAACAAAAATAAAATAAGCAAACAAAACAACACAAAAAACTTGTGTTGGACAAAAATTTCAAATACCCTAGTGATAAACTGATTAGATTTAGGTATTTTAAGATGCAAAGATTTTTTTACAAGATGGTTTACTGAAAAATAAGCCACATGAGATTTTAAGTTTTGCATGTGTTTCTTAATTTATAACATGCCAATCCTTTTCAACCTCACATTTAAGTTACCAGTTTACGACACTATCCTTACAAAACATAAACAAACTTTTTCATATTACAGCCATGGTTTTAATGTTGCTTAGTAATAGCCAAACTAGAATACTGTATTTCAAGAAAGAGAGAGACTATAAGGATTATTTAATATAATCCGAGACTTAATTAAAAGCACAGTAGTCAAACGATATAAGGCCATAATATAGTAATAACTTCTTAGCAGGTCTTTCTCAGAGAGCTCTAGGCTAGGAAAAAATAATGTACTATGAGACCATTTTGCAATTGCAAATGCTACTTAGTCGTTAGGACTGGGAGAAAATATGTTGCTTTTGTATTACAAAAAGAAAGTTAGCTCACAGTCATGAATGTGAAACCATTTACAACAAGAAATGAGAGAGAAAGAAAGTAAAAAAAAAAAAAAACAAAACACCAAAACCCCAAAAACCAAAAAAGGCAGAAACAGAGAAAAGCCAACCAGTCTGTTTTATAAAATCAAACCTGATCCCTAACAAAGGAAAACCTACCGTTAATACTATAAGCCAGATCATTTATTGATTTTCTATACTTCAAGATGTTCTCAGTTCAGGTTTTGTGTCTGTATAGTGCAGGTGATAAAGAAATAATAAAGCACTTCTCAATTTAAGAAAAATACAATCTAATTGACTTAAATGATAATCAAGGGAACCAACTACATACAGAAAACAGATTACAGCAACTGAAACTCAGACTGCACGTATACAAGCTAAAGGCTGTAGTTCACACAATTACAGAATAAAGGACATAGAAGGAAAATCCATCAAGTGCAGTGGAATAATGAACAGCAGAAGAAAATTTAACCCCACTCCCCCTGACTACTAGAATGATGTAATTAGAGAGAATTAATACTGTAACATAGAAAAATGAATCATAGAATAGTCAGGGTTGGAAAGGACCTTAATATCATCTGGTTCCAACCCCCTGCCATGGCCAGGGACACTATACACTAAACCGTGTCATCCAAGACTCCGCTCAATCTGGAATGAAAAAACAAATGAAGAACTGAAGATTTTCTAAGATATGACTAAAGAATGGTACCAGAAACAGTTGTAATAGTACTAGGACGAAAGCAGGAAGATCCTAAGTGGATTAGAGCAGCCTAACCTGAAGCAGTGGTTACAAACACTGCAAATAAACTGATTGAAAAAGGAGAAAGAAAGTGATGAAAAATTATTAGAACTGTGTTATTATAATGAAGAGAGGGGTCACAACAGCAAACAGCACTTGTTAAATGTGGCATGGTTTAAGAACTAATAAAATGTAACTAATACAGGACAACATAGGGGGAGACACTGTCTTTACTGAAAAATCAAGATGCATGCAGATCATTAACCCAATAATGAGATCAAAAAAAGTGCAAGGAAATGAAGAGATTTTGTGCCTACAGGCAAGATCAACACAAACTGTGTTGGACTAGGTGGATACAGGAGCTTTAAAGAGCAGTAAAAACCAGAAGAAAAATTAAACTTGGAAGGAAATTTGTGGCTTCATAAAATATTTGCCTTTCAGCATAAATATATTTCTGTATTCCAATTACAGTAAGAGGAATACGTTTAAGTATTTAAGGATCAAACTAAATCTTGTCTCACTGCTAGAAAACAATAGGCAACAGATTCAGATCTTAGATCAGCAGCCCCCAGCTGTTGAAATGGAAATATATTCTGGAACTACAAACACTCTTCAGAAAGTGAGAAGTGGGAGGTAAGGAAAAGGCAGCAAGAATAGTCCCGTAGCAGAAAAGAAGCAAGTGCTGATGATATGCAAAAAAAAAAAAAACTGCGTTCCTGGATCTAAGTAACAGGAGAGAACTACCAAGACTGAAGAAGGAAGTATCTAGCTAGTGGTACTTCACAGGCAGGGTAAAGAGCACAGAGAAGGAGGCAACTGCAGTACAAAACATAGATGAGTGCAAGGTTTATTTGCTACACAGGCACTGCATCCTATCAATGCACCCAGACAGTCCAGCACTGCTATACACATAAGCTAATAAGTCCTTCAATAGAGAAATTGGTCAGTATACCTATCTACCCTAATTTCCAATATATCTCTTACTTATGGTGTCTCAGTGTTGGTAGAAAACATGCCCTGCATTTATATACCATGACAATATATGCAGGTAGTCCCAATAATTTTGTATTTTGACTTGAGGAAGCATAAGAGGGATTGTGTATTTGTCCAGAAATCCCAATATTTGCCCATTTATTTCTGTCCAGAAAGTCGTGCTGAGATATTTGATCGACCAATACTCAGGAAAGCAACTTAAAGCAGATACCCATATCTGAAAGATTTTGCTAGCAAAACTACAAGGTGTATTTTGTAATATTTGAAAGTAATACATATACACACAGAGATATATATGAGAAAGCCACCATATAACTAAGCAAAGCTTAGCTTAAAACAAAGGAACCACATGAATAGGCTACTCTGGCAGACTCTTTGAATAAGATGCTTAACTTCATAAGCATGCAGCTTTTCCTAAGGATCCAATCTGAGTTTCTGGATCAGCTTAAGGCTGAAGCACTCTAAGTTCTTGACTTGCATACTGTCCTGGGTTCAGCAGTAGCAGTCATTTTTCTCTTTCTTGGTAGCTGGTGCAGTGCTGTGTTTTGACTTTCGGGCTGGGAACAGAGCTGAAAAACAATGATGTTTTGGTTTGGCCAAGGACATTGTGGGCCTCATGCTCTGCCAGGGAGGAGGGGAAGCGGGGAGGAAGCAGAGACAGGACACCTGACCCAAACTGACCAAAGAGGTATTCCATACCACAGCACGTCATGCCCAGGATGTAACTGGGAGGGACCCGGAAGGGGCTAGAGAGAACTGCAGGGTTGGAGGAGGTATCGGTCGGTGCTTGATCGGGCTGGGGGGCAAGTTTTCGGTCGGCTGGTGACGGGGTGTTGTATTCTCTTCCCTTGTTATTTCCTTTATCATTACTATTATTGGTGGCAGCAGTAGTGATTTGTGTTATACCTTAGTTACTAAACTGTTCTTATCTCAACCCGTGGGAGTTGCATTCTTTTTGATTCTCCTCTCCGTCCCTCCGAGAGTAAGGGGAGGGCAAGAAAGGGGGGGGAGAGTGGGTAACAAGCTGTCTGGTTGGGTTAAAACCACATACTCTATCTGATGGATTACACATTCTATTTTTCAAACAGCTGTGGACAACCCTGTACTACTGCATTTGGTAGTATAACCAGCAAATCTCTGGGATTCACTTACTAAACATGCCAACGTTTCAAAACAGCTGGCTTTACAAAGCTTAACGTGAAAAATTTAGCATTAGCACAAAGTTACAAAACATTCTTGCTTAAAACCCCCATCTAAATTTATTTATTTTTATTCCTTTGGAATAAAGATATAGTCTTTGCATAGTTAATTACAATTCCTGACAACCTCTTTCTGACTTTTGATTAGATGTGTTGAAAGTTCATTTTACTTCTTTCAAGTTACGTTATCCCAGGTTTTGGCTTTAACAGAGATACCTGGTCTATCTTAATGTTACCAAACCTGAAGATGTCAAAAATTTTGAGTTTGAAATCAAATGAAGTATTGGAAATGTTTTAAAACATATATATAAAATATGCTTTCCTAAGTGGCACAAATGTAATTAAAAGACACAGATTCTGTTACTTTTTCCTCATTGAGAAAATCCTCCTTTTGAAGGTATATAGATTTTATTCCCAATAAGGAAGTTAATGCTTTATTACCAGAATTGTAATGGTCTATCATCACAATGCAGTATGAAAGAAATACATGGCACAAACCGCAGGCATGATACCAATACTTCAGTAATAAAACCTGAGGAGGCTATTAAGCTAAAAAAAAGTTAGTACATAAGTGTGCAACAATGGCGTTTTTTTTTTGTCCAGAGACACTTCTGCTTCTGCGGTGATCAGCACAGAATACAGCTATTCAAAACAGCGCTGAAGATAGCTGAATACATTCAGTGGTACAACTGTGTAGCCGCTGTGTGTAAAAACAACAGCAAGGGCCTACTTAAGCAACACAGAAATCAGGAAATTCAGAGTTAAGGCTGAAATTGTATCCTTAACTCACCTCATTGTGCCTAGGTATCCTAGCTCAAAGGGTATGTAAGACCATCCAGAGTTCTGTGGCCTCAAATAGAGGACCAAACCATACCTAGGCATAACAGGGAGGCCAAATTTAACATGAGTGCACATAAAAAAAAAATAACCCTTTAATATGCATGCAAATTAGACTTCAAAATTGAACCCCCCAATATACTCATGATCTAACTTTGAACAAGATCTAGCTGTCATTTTGAAGTCAAATACAACATCCTAATGTATGAACAAAGTGTGAGCATGCACTAAGTTCTTACTAAAATTGTGTTTCCTAATGCAATTTTAAAGGGTTTTGCTAGACACAATTTAAGAGCTGTAGCCTTTTACATATAACTGAAGTTCCCCCAAAATTAAACAATTTTTAAGATGGAGCATTTAATTAAAATTGAACAGAAACACAGCTATGCTGCCACAACATTATTTATTTGCCGTACTAAATTGTTGTTACATATTAACAGTTACTTAGTTTTGCTCATACACAATTCAGAATGACACTTTAGAACTTCTCTGCAATAAACTGGGCTGTACCAAATCTCTAAGTGATAAATTTAAAAGAAGTATGTGAAATTTAAAAGATGTTTGGGAAAGCCAAATACCTGAGATTTTTTGGCCTCCAGTGTCACATCTGTTTTGAAAATACAGATCAACAGACCAATAATCTTAAGTATCAAAAATTTTCTTAACCTTCCTTCGTGCAGCTGGGTTACTAAGGATTCACAGACCATGGTTTCAAGAATTGTAATAACCTCACTACTACTCTAAAGAAATTTCTGGTCTCTCTCACTTACCTTTTACCAGCTTTTGCTTGTACCGACTCACTGAACAAACAGATCCCAATGTGACAGGAGACAAGCCCAGAAAATATGCACAGAGGATCTATAGAAAACTGCTCACTGATGAACTGCACTGGCTCATAGAAGTTCAACAGTTGAGCCATTGCAAGAGAGGAGCAGAACCATGAAGTCAAAGGAGACAGGTTGGGATGACCCAAATATACTGCTTTCACCATCAGATTCACCATTCACTTGAGAAAATACTATCAAACCTCAAAATACAGCTCATCAAGCTGGATTTCCACCTAAAGCTAGCTTCCTCCAAAATGAAAGTCACTAAAACTAAACTGGTATTACAAATCCACCCAAAATATCAAAAACAGTTGCTTTCCTTTATCTTTTGACATTAGATTTTAATTTTTCTGACAATTTCACTAGTTGTTCAGTCACAATACCTCAGTCCAGGCAAAATTGACAAGTGACATGAAACACAAGCATATATATGTCTACAAGAAATGTTTTGACTTTGCTAAGCCACTGCACTTGAGTAACAGACAATAATAAAACACGAGAAAGTAAATTCTAATTTACTTTTGAAATATATATTCCATGCCATGAAGCGGCATAACTGGGCACTACAATTTTAAAATAGCAAACATTTCTAGAAATTGCTTTCCATGCTGAAATTAATGAATTCTTAGTCACTCAAGCACACTCCCCTTTAAAGCAGCAGGTGAAGGGGGGCAAAGATTAGAAAGTTCCTACACTCTGTAAAGAGGTTTCAGGCTTAAGAAAATAGTAAAACATGCATGTTCCACAGAAAGCTACAACCTAAAGCAGACTTTTCATTATTTCATCAGCCTTTAATACTCTGGTTTTGTTAGCAAATCTAACTATCCAAAATTTCTGATGTACATTCCATAATCCCAACTGAAAGCTTAATAAAGGTCCTCTTTGCTACTTGCTTTTAAACATGATGTCATACTTTAAAACATGAAGAGGAGAGAGGAAAAACAAAACAGAAGTAGTGGAGCAAGCAGACAATCATTTCAATCTTTTCAGCACCCACAAGAACAACTCTGTGAGAACCTCATCTACTCACAGGACAGTAGAAAGATGAAAACTGTTGAATGATGGCAAATCTGCCTTCACCTTCAAAAAACCTCCCTAAATTCACATCAGAGTAATTTCCTTCTATCATGTAACTAGCCTTTGAGTGCAGTATCATGGATTCTCCCTGAGATTCTTTGCATCAAGGTTATTCTTCACCCACAGATCACTAATCACTGGCAGTATGTTTGACTAGATATAAATCACAACCTAAACCAGTGTCTATCAGACCTATTACCTATAAAGACATTTGTCAAACTGCTGCTGATCACTGTATCCTAAGAATAGTGGACACTGCTTGGCAGGACCCAAAGGATGCAGCAGGACAAAAAACTGTATTAAAAAAGATCTAGGAATAAAGTCACCCACAATACCATGGAACAATTAGGTGATTATAAAAGAAGCAAATTAAAGATTATTATCTGCGCAACAGAAGCACATATACAGGGCAGCCAGGAGACCTAGAGATACACCTAATATTTCAATAGTTTTCTCTATTTCTATACTTTTAGCTGGAAGCATTGAGAGACTTCTTTATATTCTGAAATTTACATAGAAAACACTTCTGAATTTGTGGAAAAAAAAACATCAACCAAAACAAAAACCAACCACAACAACAAAACAAACACACAATCTTCCCCTCCCAAAAACCAACCCAAACAACAAAAAAATCAAACACCCCCCCCAAAAAAGAAAAAACACCACCCAAAACCACCACTCCCCTCACCCCCCAAGTGCCTCAAAAAAACCAAACCAACAACCTGCCTGTCATTCTTGATAGCCTAATATTTTGCCCTTTGACAGGAATGCTTTGTAATTAACACCTGTAGTAACTCTACCACTTCGTGTTTGGACTGTTACATTTACCACTATTTGAGAAACACGTTTTGAAAAAAAACTAAAAAATTTATCAAATACTCCTGCTTTCATTGTGGTTACCTTCTCATGCTTTTCTTGCTTGCAAATAAGATGCACATCACTGTCGCAGCCAAACAAAATTTCACACCATTTGGTATTTAATAAAACCAACACAGACTATCAAACCCAATTTTTCCTGTATTTTCTAATTTAGACTCACCTTTATGACTTATATACTGAAAACTTATATGCCAAAATGGCCTGCAAATTCTTAAATGAAAGTGCTATCCTACAATTATGATGCCCTGGCTGCAGAACATTTGAGAAATACAACAAATGAGAACTGGACCAAAATAAGTATTTAGTTCTAGAATTTATTGAAAGTGGTTTCAAAAAGACAAATTTGCTCATTCTGCTGAGAATATTTATTAAGTACTTTTCACTGCACTGAAGAGTTATTTACTTTTATCAAAGGCAGTTGACAAAGAGCTTTACACTTCCCTCCCTGCTGATACTTTTTTCTGACTTGAATGATTAATCTGATTTGCTTCGATGATTATATTTTAATAGACAGTCCTTACTCTCACAGGATTTATTAAAGTTATTTCACCTTGAAAATTGATTTTTATGTACATATTAACAAAACCATTATTTTTTGCTATTAAGAGATGTATTTCATGACATGTCAAAGAAAAATACTGAACCTGCCTTACCTGTTTAGCAAAAAATATTGTATCCAGTCTGGAATCCTGAACAACAGAACCTGCTGGTTCCTCTCCAGGCTGCCACTTGAAGAGGAAAATCAGCCCATGTACTGGCCTAAAAAAAACCAAAAATGATAGGGGAAAAAAAACCCAAACCCACATGTACTGATGAAAAAACAAAGCCAGAAATCTCTACTATAATTTAAATAAATGCTGGTACACTCATTCTGTTAGTTATTTCCTGCTAAACATGGGGAACTTGCACTGAATTTTTCAGATGTGGTCTTTCAATTAGGCAGAACATACCTCAAGCATCTGTCTATATATGCTAAACAATCTTAATGTTAATTAGCATTTCATCAGTAATTTAAGTCAGGACCAGTTTTCCTGGTTACTGTAATTACTACAGTTTCACAACACTCATTTGAATTTGTTAATGACAAATAGCTATCAAAATATTTGTCAATCACATACAGGAACTAGAACTAAAGTTTTGGTAGTCCTTTCAAGCATAAATGAAATAGGCAAAGAGAAGCTCTTGTGAAACTGCATGCTTTGAGTTCTCTCTCTGAGACGAGAACTCCAGTTTTATCTTTTACTAAAATCGTCTTTTCAGACTGCAGGACTTGCATCATGCACTGTACTTAGTTTACATCTTGAACTGTATTTAGTTATTCCCATAAAACAAGAAATATATTAGTAAAAGAACCAGTTCTTACAAAATCTATGGCTATGTTAAAGCAAAAACTTATTCATCATATCAACCTGTATTTAAGGCCATCAACACAATGATGCCACAAATATTTTATCTACAAAGAGTAAACATACTACGGCACTGCAGAAGAAACTTCCTAAGCTCTGACCAGCAGACTGAGATGTCTTTTTAAACAGTGGGACCACTGAGGGAATTTAAAAAATTCTATGCGTTGTTATATTCTTTAACTCTTAGTGTTTAAATAGTGTGTAAAATACACATGCATGGGAAGGAAGCTGGCCACCACTCAAGACTAGGAATATATACATCAGACAGTACAAGCAAGCAAAGCTGTTACTTTACGAATGGATTAGGTAACATTCTGATGAAGTATTATATGAAGTACATGGCGCAGGCAATAAATAAACCACTTCTCAAAGAACACTTCTGCCATTAGGGCGTCACTTGTCACATACCTTCAGTCAGACAAAAAATCTAAAGCTGCGTTTTCTGTACTAACTGCTACATCTTCTAAAACATTAACTATAAAAGTGTATGATATTCAATCAGTAAGAAAGTATGGTTTGGGTTAGATGACATTTTCCTCTTCAAATCTTGTACGTGAAAATGTATCTTACTTAATGCATTCCAGACAAAATGGCAAAAGAACCTTGCCTGATGAGGCCCTAACTGTTCATATGATATCAGTAATTGTCAGCTACAAGACTATTTGCCTTCATAAACATATGGAAGTGGTTCTGCAGGAAAAACAAGTTACAAAAATATGTGAGTACAGTGAATTAATTTATTTAAGGCAACAGATGCAATATGTTATGCGAGGAAGAGAGAAATAAAGCAAGAAGTTGGTCAAAGAACTTGTCAAGCAATGACAAAATCATTAGACATCTATTTCACATTCTAGCTGCTATTAGCATCTCTTTCCAAAACCACAAAAGCTAGACAAAGAACCAAGACATTAATAAAAAATAACGTAATTGCCAGGTATTCAATTAAAACAAAATCCTAGTGAACTGCTGCACCACCAAAAAAGCCACCCAAGTTTAATATACGTTCTTTCAGTGACTTCAGACAAACATAAATAAAATCTATGCAGATTAGAAAAGTGCCTTACTTCAATTTTTCAAAGTTCTCTGGTTCCAAACTCCATATTTCTTCAACTTGTGCTCCCCTACAACCTAAAAGAAGGAATGATACATGTTTCTTCAAAAGCCTCATTTAAATTGGACACAGCCAGTAAAGACAGACACACAGAAGAAATATAGTAACATTTACAATTTGTATGTACAGGTTATAGAGAAGTCTATTTATGAGCTTTAATGCATCCTCATTAGAAAATCAAACAAGACAGGTCAAGAGAAATCATTTCAGGAATTTCTCCTCTGTGTGGTGATCTCTATTTCTTTATAAACACAGCTGTTTTTAAAAAAGAAGCAGAGGAGATGAGAATATCTTTGGTCACCTCATGCCCTTTGCTCAACCGCAAATAATACTGTTTTTAAAGACACTGTCAGCTAGTCCAAATCAGAGTTTAAAAAAAATCTAACTCCAGAAAAAGACCCGGTAGTAGACCGAAAACACTGTAAGCAATACACTCTAAAAAAGACATTTACGTAAGAGCCCCAAAAGTTCAAATACTTGGCATGTTGAAGATTAATCTATTAAATAGAAATGCAAGAGGAGAAACATGCCTTGGGCTACACTTGTGAGACACAGATGTGACAGAAATTACAAATCCATGTAACCTAACATAAAATCATCTTACTTCTTTAGCCAAAATCCTGTATAGACTTATTTGCTGTCATAACCATATAACCACAGTATTTCCAAAGATGTTAAACGCAATTCAACATAATATTTAGTATTCTAAAGGCCAAAGAAGCCCATTACTGGTTGCCCAGCCCACTGCCAAGCACCACAGCTCAGCTTCGTCACACACAACCCTTCCCCGTAACGTCCTCCGTCCTGGAGTCTCTGCAACCGAGTCAGCTGTCATACGACCCAAACACAGACCCCTTCCAAACGCTGGTATTCACTCCTACGAGGCATTTACTTATATCAAGCTGCCCAGCAGAAGCGTTCATGTGCCCCAGGCGACAGAACGGGCTACGCTCAACAGCGCGTCCCACCACTGGCCAACCCACCGCCCGCAAACCGGGACCACAGGCGACGCTGACAGCCCCTTCAGCCAAAAGGGTAAGCAGCCGGCAGCAACGCGGGAGCACGGCGCTGCGAGGCGGGAAGTACCAGGCGCTGCGAGCACTGTCGCAGCCGAAGAAGTCGCACAGAGGTCACAAGAATCGCGTTCACTCTCATTAGCGTCCGCTTATCGCCACGCTGCCAGAGCACGGCCTCGGCCCCAGCCAACCTCCACCGTTCCTCGTGTCCCCCTGCCGCCCTCGGCCGGGCCGCAGCCACGCCGCGGCTGAGTTCAGCCTATCGGCGCCCCGTACCCTTCGCCAGAGAAAGAAGGAGCACTCCGCTGAACCGTGTGGGCGGGTGGGCTGGTGTTGCACCCGCGCGGGAACAGCCACCACCAACGGGGCCGCGGTCACAGAGCACCACCGCCTGCCCACCAGCGAGACCCCAACCCCCGACCCCAGTCCTGCTTTTCCCTCACCGAAGCCTTTGATAAGCTCCGTAAACACGCCCGGGTCGCTCTCCATGAGGCACCACTCCCCAGCGCTACTCCCTCCCGACATGGCGACAACCAGCACACTCCCCTAGGCCCGGCACCGCCGCCGGCCGGTTAAACTACGAGGCCGAAACACGCCGCTCCCTTCCCGGCAGACCCCGCGGCCCACGCCGCGCCTGTCATCGCTATGGTGAGGTGGGGCGGGAGCAGGAAGTAGCGGTTGGGATTGGATCCGGGGCAGCTGCTCGTTGCCGGCAGCGCCGTGAAGGGACCACATCGCTTCGAGCCGCTCCTTCACCCTGTGGCTCCACTCCTGTGGCGGCAGATGGGCGGCGGGTAGAAAGAATCCCCTACGCCGCGGAAGGAGGCGGTGCCGGCTCGGCGTCGCGGCTCCATCCGGGCACTGGGGTGCGGCCGTGGGGGGCGGTGGGCGCGGCCCCATCCGGGTCCCGGGGATGCTGTCAGGGGGCCGGTGGGGCGGGATCAGGCTGTGGAAGACGCGGAGCTGCCGGTGGCCGGAGAGACCCGCCCTGCCTGTGCCCAGGGCCTGGAGCGGGCTCTTGCCTTTGCTCTCTGTCCCGGGCGCCCTTCTCATCGCCTGGCCCGCGCCGCAGCTCCCTGGGGGTGCGCTACTGCTCGGCGGAGGAAGCTGCGCTGGCTTGGGCGGGCCCTGCCCCGCGGCCCCTGCGAGGCCGCGTCCTCTCAGGCAAGTCGCGCCGGCTAGCTCTGAGGGTGGAGGGAGTGCGCTAGCTCCGGCGGGGTTGCGGGTTTGGCGTGGGTGTTGAAGGAATGCGAAGAAGCACCCACTGTAGATAGCCACCCCCTGCTTGGCACCTGGGCGGTGTAAGCCCCTTGAGGGGATTAAAGGGCGTATCACTTGGGCTCATTGGCCTGCTTCATCGTTACCTGTTTTCGTAGTTATAGAAACTGATAGCTAATTCAAAGGGATGGGTATCAACTTTAGATGCTTTTTCCTCATAGTTTTGTTCTGTGTCTGCAAAGTTGCCTTTTCCCGCCGGTCAATAAATTTTTTAAGCAAGTATGCTTTTAAGCAACTTGTACAGTAGATTTATTTTTGATCAAGTGCCTGATTCATGTAGTCTGGTATCTCCTGCACTGTCATCATACCAGTGAGCGTACCGTTTGCGATTTGCAAAGTGTTCTCCAAATATTCCTGTTTACACAGAGATACTTACGTTGTGGAATATGAGGACTTGCGTTGTCAGAGCTCTGTTGTGCAGGTGTATTTTGTTGCAGCCACAGCTTTGTAAGATCTTTTATGCTCCCCAATACTTATTTTTGCTTCAAGATAGTAGTGTTTTCGAGTATCTTGCATGTACCATTTTTTGTCTGATAAATAAACTAATGGGTGCTGACTGTGATGTCAGGATTTTTTGTTTGGGTTTTGTATATGTAGTATGAAACATTACCTACAGTTTAATGAAACCAGCCAATTGAAATGTATTGAAATAAAATGTATTTAAACATTAAAATGTACTGATACGGTATTCATGCACAGCGAATACCACCCTTGTTATTTTCAGTGTATTTGCATGCTTCAGATGTCAGTGAAAAAGTCGGCTCAACCATGATGTGTATTTAAATGGGTTTGCAGGGAAACATGATTAGAATATTTAAGCACTAAGGAAAACAGCTGAACACTAGTGCTCAGAATAGTGCAATGAAAGATATTTTGTAGCTAATTTTTAACTAAAATCTGCATTTTAAACCAGGTATCAACATATGGCTTCTATTTTTATGATTCTAGCAGCATATAGACTACATTGGGAACACTGATTATCATTTATTATGTAATTCTGGATCACTGCAGGTAGGCAAGAATGGAGGAAGGGTACATTTCTAGTTGCTTGAAGTGAAAGGGAAATTCTGTGTCGCAGGGAAAGTGGGGAAGTTTGCAAATCAGCGTGTTACTTAAACTGGGGGGAGAATCTGTCTACATTACTGACATCTATTTGTGACAGCTTATGAAGCAAAATGGCTTTTATATTAAGTATCCAAACAAGCATCTTGGAAGTAGATAGCTGCAATGCTTAAAAATTGTTAGGTAGATTTCTTTGGATTGGCATTTCTGTGTGCTCAGACTTTAGCGTATGCCTGGTTTAAGGTCTGTATGTAGTTTGATGGAGTGGATAATTGGTGCTTTTTATGTTTAAATAGGACCCCTTGGTGCTATTTAGTGGGGGTTTGGTTTTTATTGCTTGGTGAGGACTGCAAACACTGAATTTATTCTTGTCATATTAATGTTTTGGAGATAGTGATGATGAATTTTCTTCCCCTTACCATGCTGATTTCATTTCACCTCCATTTATTTCGGTTTAAGCATTACAGCTTGAATTTTACCATGGTATATGGTCTCCAAGTAAGAGCAGTGTTGTTGCCTATGAATATTACAGCTGAACTCTCTTGCAACTCAAAATTGTATAAAGACCTGAAAGATTGTGAATTTTTGTGTTTTTCTGCGTTGTTTTCTTGGATGTCACTTAACAGAAGCTATTTGAGCCTGTAATAATTTTTTCTTGAGCTGCTTTCAATTGTTAAAAAGCTGTTGTTTAAGCCTCACTGAAACCCGCCATATTTAAACTCTACAAAGCCTTCTGACTAAAGAGTTTTTCAGTATTTTAGTTCTTTGTTTTAGCATTGTGTTTCTTCAGTCGGTTGGTATTACCAATTCCACCAAAACAGAGTAGGGCAAGATCTGATTTTTGAGCAATTTAGTATGCAGTCCAAAAATCTACCAAAGAAAGTGGTGGCAACAGGGCATAACAGCAACCATGCTTTCTGTGTGCCACTTATTGCAGTTAAGTAGTTTCCAAGTTATTTTTAAGGAAATACATTTGTCACTATTTTAACTCAAGAGATTTTTTTGTTTGTTTGTTTTCCCCTAGTACGTGTTATTGCACACTTAAGAGTATACTTTTATTAAATTTATGGTGGAAAAATTGCAAGTGTATTACTTTGCTAAGAACTCACAGGAGGAGACTCATCAGATTTTCACAGTGTTCTTAATGGGCTTTATGATTCTTCCAACAGACTTCTTGGAAGTGTAGACAATGGAGGACGAGGAAAAACAACTCCTGAATGAAAAGCAAGTGCCAAACTCTGAGAGTGGTTATGTGTGGCATGTCACTGATATGAATCGACTGCAGCGTTTCTTATGTTTTGGTTCAGAAGGTGGTACTTATTACATCAAGGAGCAGAAGCTGGGCTATGGAAATGCAGAAGCTTTAGTAAGACTGATTGAAGAGGGTAGAGGTTGTGAAGTTGTTCAAGAAATAAAGACATTCAGTCAAGAAGGCAGAGCAGCAAAACAGGAACCCCTACTTTTTGCTCTTGCAATTTGCTCACAGTGTTCTGATGCAAAAACAAAACAAGCAGCATTTAAAGCTGTTCCTGAGGTGTGTTGCATACCACCCCATCTCTTTACTTTCATCCAGTTTAAAAAAGATCTGAAGGAGGGTATGAAATGTGGTATTTGGGGCCGTGCACTGAGGAAAGCTGTTGCAGATTGGTACAATGGAAAAAATGGCATGGCTGTTGCTTTAGCAGTTACAAAATATAAACAAAGAAGTGGTTGGTCTCATAAAGATCTTCTGAGGTTGGCCCACCTAAAACCTGCCAGTGAAGGTAATACATTTTTATTTATCTGAAAATACTGTGTATTAAATCTTTTATACTTACTGTAAAAGTATTTAGTTTAGGAAACCCAAGTACTGATGATTTCTTAGTGATGGTATCCTGTAAATTGCACCTTAAAACCATGAGTGGTCATATCAGAAATTAACCTGATTATCTTCAAGTTAAACAGAGTTTGTTTCTTCTTTTTCTTATGTATGTGGAGAGAAGACAGTTCTCTCAGTTTGTTCTGATTTGCTTACAAATTATGAAATAACACTTTTGGGAAGATCTGTTGATTTCAAATACATTAGGCTCCATTTAAGGAGGGTAATACTAAAACAGTCACTAAAACTGCTGCTCAAAGTTGTGTGTGACTGACGTTTTTTATAGCTGGTTGGCAGGTCTGAGAATGGGATCTGCTAACTCACTGGCTTGCTAGAATTGCTAAATGCCAGTATAAATATGGTAATCCTGCTTGGAAAATATTTTTATTTTCAATAGGAATTGGTATAGTCACTAAATATATTACCAAAGGGTGGAAAGATGTCCAAGAAGCTTATAAAGACAAAGCAGTTTCTGCTGAGACTGAAAAACTCTTAAAGTATCTGGAGGCTGTGGAGAAAGTAAAACGCACAAAAGATGAATTGGAAGTTACTCATTTAATAGAGGAATATGGTCTAGTCAGAGAGCATCTCCTGACAAACCACCTGAAATCTAAAGAGGTAGGTAAAAATTCATTGGCTTTGTAATCTCTTCAGAGTAACACTTTTCAGAGTCTTAAGTCTACATTTTCATAAAAAATAGCCCTTACATTTTTTGTCAAGTTATTTACCCAAGTACCTAATCTAAAATAATAAAGATCTTCATTTAAATTGTATGCTTATTATTTAAAAATACACTTATTTAATGTACAGATGTAAGTTCTTGTAGCTTTGGAATCTTACCTCTTTTGTTTGGTTTTTTTTTTTCATTCTCTTTGTTTGTTCACAGGTTTGGAAGGCATTGCTGAAGGAAATGTCCATTTCTGTATTGTTGAGAAATTTAGGAAAGTTGACAGCAAATTCAGTGCTTGAACCACGAGGTTCAGAAGTGGCAATAGTATGTGAAAGACTGAGAAATGAGAAACTGCTAAAAAAGGTAAGAATGTTTCTGTTATCAGTGCCAGCCTTTGTGGTTCTTAATCTCTTCCTAAACTGTAGTTCTTCAGGGAGCCTCTTTACAAAACAAAAGGGATGTTCATTTGAGGAAATGCGTAGTTTATTCTTTAAAAAAAAACTGCAGCAGAATACTTGCTGGTGTATTTTAAAAATTGTATTTATAATTTCTGATTTGATTTCCCCTCCCCTCTCTATTTCTGAAACTATTCTAGAAATTAAGTATATTGACAACTAGGATACTTTCTTAAATTGGCACTGTAGCAAGCTTCTGGCTTAAGATAACTTCTTGGTGTAAGATAACACCTGGAATTCATTGGAGGATTCTGGAAAGGGCATAATGTCCATTACCAGTAACTGACAAGTATCAGTTCATGAAACAGCTGTGTAAAGACTGCAGGAACTCTTCAAACTTAACAAATCTAAAGGAACAATATAATAAACCAGATATTTGTAGTAGGATCTTATTTTTAGTTTCATACCTTTTTTTTTTTAATGGAGTTCAGATTTTCAAAAACTGTCTGTGGATTTCTTTTTACCTGTAGGGTAGAATACATCCATTCCATGTCTTGGTTGCATTAGAAAGCTATAAAACTGGGCATGGAAGCAGAGGAAAGCTTTGGTGGCGTCCTGATGAAGACATTTTAGAAGCCTTAGATGCCTCATTTTACAAAACATTCCAGGTAATATGGTTATTCAATTTGTTAATGCTTTTAAGAAATCTCTGTATTCTGAAAAGCCTCAAAAAGGATCAAGAAAAGTTTCTTGGATAGAAACAATTTTGAAACTTTATAACAAAAATCCTAGGACTTGGGATTTCACTAAAAATCGAATCAAAATTTTACGATACATTCAGCTTTTGGCAACATTGTTTTGCTAATGTTAACCCAGAAAGAATTAAAAAAGACCCATTTCCTGGTCGAAATCAGAAGGAAGAAATGAATGTACTAAGTATGTGTGCCTATATTTTATTTTTTTTTTTCTTATAGACAGTTGAACCAACAGGAAAACGCTTCTTACTTGCAGTTGATGTCAGTGCATCAATGACACAAAAGGTTTTGGGCAGTGTACTCAATGCTAGCACAGTTGCAGCAGCAATGTGTATGGTAAGGCATTAAACTTATATTTATAATTATTTGCAGCTTGAGCTGCTCTTTTAATACAAAAGTGATCTAAAGCTGCTTAGATTTCAGAAGGACACTTACCTATAATATATTTGAGTACAAAAAATGTGACCTTGTGTCTCACTGGTAGACCAGATGCTTAAAGCCAGTGGCAACCAAATTCAGGAAGATCAATTTGAAGCTGATTTCTAGTCTAAATGAAATTGGTCAAGGCTGCTTTTTCACTTATCCTAGCTGAAAATACATTCTATTTATTTATTGTTTCAAAAGCACTCATAGAATAACACAGATTGGATTAAGAAATTTTGGGATGCATTTGAGATATCTATATGTCCTTTGTCTCACGATCACTTTCCCCTCAATTTGATATTCTAAAGCTTCTTGTGTATTTATATTCTAAAGGAGTTAAACTTTTGTTGCTGTTTAAAAATGTTTGCTGTTTTATGTCAGGGGAGAGAAGGAATATGGAAGTATATTTAGAGCAGTTAGAGGAGTTCTTCACCTTTGATTTTTACAATGTTTATTTGCAGTATTACATTTAAAGTGATTAGGGAAGCCTTAATGCATATGAGAATCCATGGTGACTTGAATGAAAAAGGATGTGTCATGTTGTGGGAATGCCTTGATTCAGACAGTAAAAATCCTGAATAACATAACTAAATTATTTTTGTCTTCCCCTTTCTCAGGTTGTGGCACGTACTGAGAAGGATTCCCATATAGTTGCCTTTTCGCATGAAATTATGCCCTGCCCAGTGACAACTGATATGACGTTGCCTCAAGTGTTAGTGAAAATGTATGAAGTATGTAAAACAAACCAAACCAAAAAACATTAGGAAATAGCTGTTACTAACATCACAGTTTAGATGTCTCAGCAGTTACATTGTATTTTCTTTATAATCAGTTGTATACTGTGTTTAGTCCATATTTGTATAGTAAAACATGGGATTTTTTTTTTCCCTTTTATTAAGAGACAGTCCAGCAAATGTCATTATTTCAACTGCTGGATATTACACATTGCAATCTGGAATGGCAGTGTTAGGTCACAAGGAGATAGGTTGAAAAGAATATGTAAAAAGTCAAGCAAACAAGCAAAATCAAAAAACCCTATGCAAAACTAGTAAGGGAACTGTGGTGTAACAAAGAAGCCTCTGTATGTGATAAAACGTGAAGCTTCCATAAAAATAATTTTTCCATAGTTTACTACTTTCTGTATTATTCTGTGTTCTATGTTTGGTTTGTTTTTTTATTTATTTTTTTTTAATTTATTTTAAGATTCCAGTGGGTACCACTGATTGTTCCCTTCCAATGATATGGGCTCAAAAAACACAGACAGCTGCTGATGTCTTCATTGTATTTACCGATAATGAGACTTTTGCTGGGAATACTCATCCTGCAACAGCTCTTAGAGAGTACAGAGAGGTAAATATGCTTCTGACTGTTTTATAATTGATGAACATGGTACAAAATAAATACCAGTTTTAAAAATATCTTAAAAACTGAACTAGTTGTGGATTTTTACAGTAAATAATATGCTTCTTAAAACTGATATATTCTGCAGTTAGGCAGAATTAGTGCGCATTTTGCACTAATTGCATTTATTTAAAACCTCGGAATTGCTAAAGGGATTAATAATTACCCCACCCTGCTCAGTGTACTGCTATATCAGTGAAAATCTGTTTGGTTTTTAGAGAATATATGAGTTTCTGCATTCTGTCTGTAATAGATTAAGTTTCTTACAGTCCTTACAGAAGAAAACTTGGCTCACAGAATTAAATTGAACTTTGATGTCTGCAGTAGATACCACAAAGTTTAAATGAAGTAATGAAGATAAGCCTGTAGGGAAGGTGTTAATAAGATGAGGTGATAGCATCTTGTGAAGGCAGTTCATTATGATCTAAATGGGCTACTCTTAAGCTGTGCAGCTTCATTATTTTAAAATAGGACTAAGAAAAATATCTTCTCGAAACACATTGCTATTAGAGACTCTGGTTTAATTAGCAAGCCATCTTTTATGCTTTTAAGTAAGTTTTTAAACTACAAGAAATATTTTTTTTTTGGAAAGCATGTACACATAGATCTTTGTGTCATGTCCACCCAACTGAAATGAATACCAAAAATCTTTTAACTTGCCCCCTGTGTTTCTGTTTTCTTAATTAAGACTAGCTCCCGTTCCTAAATTTTTTCTTTAAAACAGAGTTCTGTACTCTTAATGCCACTTGCTTTGCTTTACCTTACAGGTGATTAACCTTCAAATTCAGCTCCTTTAGCAGAATTATTCAAGCCATGGTTGTTGTATTTGTTCAACCGCAAAAATATACTCTCTGACTCCTATTAGAGGATTCAGTTACTATTTTTGAAAGTTCTCTCTCAGAATGAACTCCAGAATGGCAAATGCAATGTTTGATATCTATCTATGAATAATCTGTGCATTTTAGTATTGCAGGAAAGTTGGGTACACTTCACTGCAATTATTCCCATTAATTTAATTATACCTACTGCAGGTTAAGTGTGATGTCAACAGTCTGCAGTTCTGGTTATGGCACATCTAGTTTCTATCAGTATGCTTATTCAGTGGTTTAGGAGGCGAGATAGCAGGATTTGGCCCTCTGGCTTAAGTTACTGTATATGTGTGTTCTCATATTATTTTTTCCCCTTTTTTTTTCCTTCCTTTAGAAAATGGGTATTCCTGCTAAGCTGATTATTTGTGGAATGACCTCAAATGGCTTTACCATTGCCGATCCAGATGACAGAGGCATGTTGGATATATGTGGCTTTGATACAGGAGCTCTTGATGTTATTCGAAACTTCGCTTTGGATTTGATCTAATTTTCTAGACATCTGCTCTTCCTTGTGGGTCCATTGCTGGCAACAGACTACACCCTGGGAATTCCCAGCCAAATACACTTCATTAGAATATGGCACATTATATACATATCAGAATGTTACCTTTTTGTGAAGGGAAAACAAGAAAAGCAGATGAGAAATCTCTTTTTTCTTCCTGTTGCACACAATTTAAAGTAACAGTGGGAAGTTTGCTAAAAGTAACTACAGGGTTACACAATATATAATTTAATTTCATTTATAATAGATTATAAGTACTGAGAGACTTTTAATTCTCCCCTCCCTGCTTCCAACCTCACCCCTCCCTTCCCCCATTGCTGTGGAATGGCTTGTTTGCAAGAAGATATTGACTTACTGTTAGGATGGGGCAGAAAAACAAAAAGTGGGGTTAGTATTTTTAGTAATGTCAGTTTAACAGCAACTTCATGGAGAGGGATTTTTCTTTGGTCTGTTTGTCAGTCTTTGTGTTTTAAACAAATTAACAAGTTTCAACAGTTTCCATTGTTACACTTCAGATCTACAAAAGTATTTACTGACACATATGAGACCATGTGACTGTGATGCAGTATAAAAGCTGTCCAGTGAAATTTTATACTGATGAAAGTGGAAGAGATTATGCTTATCTTTTTCTATCTAGATTATCATCCTAGTTTTCAGGATTAAAGTGTAAATTGAGGTGTGGTTTCAGAAGCACTATTTTTAAATTAATATGATTTACAGGAAGTTGTAAGAACTCTTCTTACTAGAAAAAGACGCTGGAAATGGCTTAGAAGCTACATTCAGTCCATGTTATAACTTCAGGAAGCAACAGCACACTTTAAGTGAGAACGATCAACAGCTGCATGTGTCTTGGACTGCTCTTGAAAGCTGAATGGTAACAACCAGAAACAAAAAGCTGCATTTTTTCCAAGAGAACGTATTCAATGATGCAGAAAAAATCTTCCTAACAGGAGAGTATTTCATTTTTTTTAAAATCTTTTTGTAGATTAATATCACTTCTGGTTTTCTTAAATTAATTCAAGCTTACATTTTTCAAAACTACCTCCAGTTTATAGTGACCAATTCTTAAAAACTTTTATGAAATGTACAGCTGCCTCTTTCATGTTCTCAAAGTCTTGCTTGGGAAGTGGTTGAAACTGGATTTTTTTATTTTATTTCTTTTTTTTTAGTTTAATACTGTGTGAGTTAAGTAAGAAGAAAGCTAGTGAAAAACTTACCACTTTGGAACAGGAATTATTAGCAATTCATGTGTATATGTATGTAATTCTCTGTGTTTTTATATATGTGTGTATAGGGGGAAGTTAAAAGATCTCTAGTAGGTCACAATCTTAGAAGATGGGAAAGGTTTTTAGTGATGCTTTCACAACTTTCCCTAAGACATACGTATGTCAACCTCTTTATGCTAATTCTGGCTGTTTTAAACAGTGAATTTGATGTTAATTTGCAAATAATTATGATTTATAAAAATAACCCAGTTGTGGTAAATGACATGTAAGACCATATTTTTCTGCCTAAAACCCAAGCTTTTAAATGTAAAATTCAAGTTCATATTATACTTTTGATACTTGTAACACTTTTAATTATGCCTCACACATACTGATTATAAATTCAAAGCTCGCATTCTGTAGGATGGATATCCCTTTTGGTGCTAAAATGTGAGCTTACATGTTACTGAAGATATTCTGCTAAATACATGCTACTTTAATGAATAAGTCATTGAGGGAAGCCTTTTCTGACACTAAAACCATGGCTTAAAGAACTGATGGTAGGAACGTTACCTTTCAGTGGACTTCTGAATTATTGCTGCTCTTATGACACAGCTTGACAAATATAGGACTGCCACCAGCTTGTCAGGTGACATCGAGAAAAACAAGTGTTCCTAAAAAAGCTGAGACATAACACTATGAGTTTGAAGATTAGCCATTTCTTATGAAAAAATTCTTAACCACTTTTAGTATCCTTTCTAAATAAACACCATGAATATGGGAAGTAAACTTGTTCAGTCAATACACGTCAATAATTATTCTAAGTAAATGCTCTGATGTTTTGGGGTTGGATTTGGTAGTAGTGTGTTTGAAATTACACAATAGTCAAACATCTGATAAGGTGTTTCCTTCTAAGCTAGAGATGTTGAAAATAACATAGATAAGTATCTTTTGCAAGTACTTTATTATTTGGAGTAGTATTTGTGAAGTCATAGGAAATATTTTGGATTAAATATAAAAACTTAAAACAGGTATTCCAAGTAACTTTTGTGCACTTAATTGCATAAACTTACTGCAAGCAGAAGATTAGTTATTAACAGATTGAATGAACGGTTACAGTAGTGTTACATCTTTGAAAGCAGTCCAGTTGAAAATACAATTCCTTGAACTAGAGCATAAGTTGAGATGAACTTTTCAGTAGAACTGATAGAAAATGTAGCTCCCTGTATCTGTTGACACTGGATAGCTATGGACCCTGTTAAAGATGGGAGTGCTGGAGTACGTAGTGTGCTCCTAAATATTTACTTTATCTTTGTATTTAAAAAATCTTCTCATAAATAGAATATTCTGAGTGGTTTGGTTATCTCATGTAGAATTATCACCAGTGAGATCATGTTGTCATCTGCATCTCCTTTAAGATTTTCAGAGAGAGGAAACTGAAGTAAATGCTGACAGCTGAAACCTTATAGTGTGTTGATCTTTGTTTCTACTGGTTTTGGTTTGGTTTCATTGTTATCTTGCAATAAGGGTCATAGAAGAATGATGCTGCGTATTCCTTTTTCCATATAATGGATCTTTTTTGTCTGCCCATATACTGAATTGTAGGGGATAGTGTGATTCATTTGCCATAACACAAATTAGTCCTGATTTTGGTCTTCAGTTATTAGACTGGTAATTGATAATTTCTAAAATGATATCTGGCCATATAAAAAGGCAGTAAGTATTGTAATGCTTTCAAAAAGAGAGAGCAGTAAAACAAAGTTGCTGAGCTTAAGCATTAGTTCAGTGTATAATAACCTACCCTTTCACCAGAGGAGATGTGGACTCTTTCAAGTTAATAGTGTTGTTTGAGTTGGAGGAACACCTTGACTAACAAAGCAAAACTGAGGCTATAATTGTGCACTGCAGTTTGCCAGTAAAAACTGAATAGGGACAAGTTTAAAGATTGTTCATTTTACTGCAAACCTTAATTAAAAAAAAGGTCTAAATGCAGAGTGTAACTGTAGAGTGGGTGAATGCAGGTTTCCTGGTACCTAGCAGATTTAATAGGCTTTCAGTTTGACTGCCATTTCACTGTGACACCCTTAACAATTCTTAAGTATTAGACTGTTACATCTAAGGCTGTAATGTTCTAGCACTTCAGCTTTAAGAAAGAAGACCAGTTCCTGGTTGGAAACACAGCAGGGGCAAAAGGTTCTTATCTTAAGAAGGGCTGTAATGAATAAACATAAAAGATCAGGTTTCTTCATGGAAGGGATACAATCAAGACTGTGGAGAGGGCAAAGGTTTCTTAAAAAACCATGCAATGCATACATCAGCATTGTATAATAAATTGAATAAAGATGGGAATAATTTTTCAAAGAAATAGAACTTCATGTCAGGAATTTCTGATATACAGCAAGGAGGAGTGTTTGTGGTACTTGTGGAATTAGTGCAGGCACAGTATGGGGTCCTTACCTACGATCCTGTGTTTACAAACAGGGATGTCTAAAAGTAGGTGTAGACTTGAAGTCAGCAGGGCCAGTCTAAGTGCCCAGTATGTGAGGGCCACTAATAACTGTCCCTAAACACCTTGCTGCTTAAAACTACTGTCAAATATGTTGGTTAAATGTGAATCATTGGGGGGTTGTATTTTTCATTGTTGTTTTAATTGTGGACCATAAATGATTATGCCTTTAAAAGGCTATTCAACGAAGTGTATGTCTTGGCTTATAAAATACACCAGCATTTTTGGAAATGTATTTTAATAAAGGTGGTGTCTGTAAAAACACTAGGAAAGTATTTTTCTCCATTGCAAAGTGCTGTGATGCTTAATCACGTACCTGGCTCCGCCACCTGACCAGAAGCATTTGCATCAGTTCCATTTATTGTGTTTCTTGTGTTATGTTTTTGCTTCACCCTTCCTTTTCTCTGCTAAGGTTGGCTTTTTTTCCTCCTTTCCCATCTCCTTATTGCCTCAGGCCTACACTTGGATCTCCCTTCACATACAAGTTGTTGTCCACTCCTTTTTGTTTTGCCTCTGTTCTTCCACAGCCTTGCTGTGTTGACCATGCTGAGCTAAGTAAGTTACACCAGAACCTATGTCATAATATTTATCCTACTTTTTAAAAACTGGATATTTTTCTTTCATTGGATTATATTAATGTCTAATAAAACATTTAATTTGCTGTATGTTTAGATTTTTGGTAAAACTGTGTGTAAAATCAGTGACAAAAGTATACTTTGGTTATTTGCAAGAATCAAGTGTCTGCCTGTGAATGGCTTTATTTTTATGAAGTAACCACTTAAAATTGGCCTTTTAAATTTAAAGCTTTTTCCTAGAATTATTTCAGTGGGTTGGAGCTTTCCATTCTGTTATATGCAGAATCAGGGAAACATTGCAATTAATGTTGCAGAGAAATGGGCAGCTTCTTTGCAGTAAAAGAAAAAATCTTCAAATAATGGGCTGTAGAAGTAAACCAAAGGAAAGAATCGTTTGTCTTGCTTTTGCTTTTCATCTTTTTTTTTTTTTTTAAGTGTTTACTTAGTTTATGGGGTTATTTTGCTACTTGCTGTAGCTCACAGTAGACAAACACACTGTAAGTAAGATGATTTAATAACTTTATTGCTGGGATTGTAGAGATTTTATCTTATCATGGTCCAGTACAGTGTACAAAATTGCTGAGTCAGTTACAGGGGGAAAAGTAAAACACAAGGACAGTGTATTACGGATGTGCTGCTCTGAGCTAAGATGTAAGATTAGCTAATTTCAGCAGACGGTTTGGTGTCTTTAAATATGTGTGCTTACATTGGGATTTATAATTTTGATCCCGTAAGGTGTGGTTTCTTTAGGTATTTATTCTGAGTTTAAATACATATATTTGCATTTATATATGTGGTACGTTGAGAATTTTACAAATGCTTCATTAACAAATAATGAATATAAGTACCTGTTTTCCTAATGCTACAATCTTCTTAAGCACAACTAGTTACAAATAAAATGTCTTTCCTATTATGTTCTCCTATAAAAGTGCAGTTCTACTCTTTAAAAATAATTCTTTATGAAGAAGCAACAGACGGGTACATTTCACAGCTGTATCTGCTTCGTTCAATGATTTGATGTTTCCAGCTTTTCAGGCTTCTTTAGGAGCATGGTATGTAAAGTGGATTAGCAGCTTTGTCTTAAGTACAGATCCTTTTGGTAAATAAGTTTTAACGTTCAGATCCCAGAGCAAGCATTATTTTAAGATGAACAGCTTTGTCCTGGAGACAATGCTCAGCAAAATCCACAGGAATTTTAAATTACTATTTTTTGTTCTCTCCCCGTTTTTTTTTCCTTTTTCTAGAGTAGAACCACACTTTAATTGCCGTATCTTGTTTAAATAACTTAAACATCATGGCTTTGTGCCAACCAATAGTGACTGCACTGTCTTGCTGCTACTTTCTATGAATTGTTACAGAATTAATGAGAAATGAAACTATTTGGATGTGGAGCCTTAATATGCCTAAAAAGAAACATAATTAACCCTTTTGAGTGCCTTAGGACATATCTTTTTTAACAAGTGGGCACTCATTTGGATTTGCAGGCATACAGCATCCTTTCTTATCAGCTGGAATAGAGTGTTGGCTTAAGTGACAATGCCCTGGGAGTTCTGAAACTTAGAACTCAAAGGGTTATTTTAGACTACTGTTTTGGGACTTTCTGGTTTGTTGGTATTCTGGGTTTTGTTTTTGTTTCCTTTAACAGGGAGCAGAACAGAAAGGTCTTTGAAAAAATCCTTTGTATACTATTATTTTTACATGATGGACTTACCAGGTTTCAGGTACAAAATTACCGTTAATCTGAGATAACATGAACTGGCCTAAGAATTCTACACAGAGAAAAAGAATACTTAGTTACCGCCATATGTGCAAAACAAATTGCTTTATTAAGTATATATTTAGAGAGAGAGGCACATTTGTGTGTGTTCACCATGA